TATTACTTCGTTGATCGATTTTACTATACCGCGATAAACGAGATTTCAGAATTAATTAAGAAGTAAGTAAAGCACTGATGTCATAATAATTCAGTTCTTTGACGTTCGCTGAGATATTCCATCCATCTGTATCCAATACCATTGTGTGAGAGCTCAAATACAAATTTCTTTCTCACGTATTAACGGAAATGATTGCCTTGAGGAATGTTTACCTTAGCGTGTTTAGTGTTTCTCCATCAGTTTCAATTTAAGATACTTAAGTTGCTTTTCGATCGCAAATCTATCAGGATTGTATGACTGTATGGATTTGTGAGTGCCTTGAATCCGGCAAAAATGAGAGCTTCATTCCTTGGGTGAGTGTCTGATAGTAAAGTAGATATTTTAGGTGAGTGCTCGATAGTAAAATAGGTGTTTTGTCGGTCAGATCATATTCTGTGTTCATCTCATTTCCGTTGGATTTGATAGAGCCTTTAATGGAATGTTCTTCTTCCGGCTGTGTTTGTTTCAAACTTCACGTCCGGAATTCAGCGGATCGCGCTCTTTGCTGAATGAGTTTCCCTTCTCACACCCAATCAAAAATAATGGTGAAGTGTTGGATTCCAAGTAGCTTGATATGATCAAATGTTGCAAAGTAATGAAACTTCTGAAGTAACGATTGGATAGAATGACGAAATCGGATGTGTTGAGGATATACATGTAATGCTTGATAGAAGTAAGTAGCAAAAGGATGAGTATGAGGGTGTTTTTAAATGCCGTATGTAAACAAATAACGTTGTGTGTTTGTGAATGATATGCGTACGGATGGATAAATGGATGGCATCGTCGTCATCTTTAAGATTTCAATTCAAAAGTCCCAAATAACGAGTTTATAGATCGATTTTAAGAAGGGGATTGCGGACGAATAAGATGCTAAAACGCATAGAAGACGATTCTGGTATTGAGTCGTCGATCCTCTTCAATGGCCACCACAAGTCATTGATTTCGTTTCGTCGACTCTCAGTTCCAAACACATTATTCTCCTTATCCTCCGGCGTTAAACATCGATGAAAATAGGCCTTCTTTATTTCCCTCTCAGGGCTATTTACTATTCACTTTCTTTGATATGTTATGCATTGGTTACAAACGAACACATGCATCTGCAATAATTTGATGAACAATAAGAACGTATTCGATCAATGCGGATTAATACTGATCACTGATCCTGAAATCAACCAATATTTATTCAGTATAGCTAATAGGCTAAGATTATACGAATACGATTCAGTTTTGAAATTCAGAAAGCTTCGGATGGAATTGAAGGATTGATGACACCACAAAAGAATATCCTTGTGAATTTGCATTATTGGACTCTAGTTTCTTGTAGATATTCACATTGTATGCCTGACAACCTATGTCCATTGAGAAGGAGTAATTCTTAAGTTCTTTTCAATCTATCTCCGTTTTATACGGAATATTGAAAAGTAATGAAATAATCAACTGAACGGAAATAATCAATTGAACTCATAAATTGCGGAGTTACGTGCAACGTCAGTTCCAAATTCTGCATGAGAATTCCTCTTGAAATCGCGAACATTAAATGTTATCCACTGAAAACGAATGCAGATGTGATCCTTTTTTAAAGCGTTTTTATAGTGGTTAATATGAACGTTTGAAGTGATTCTACTGGATGATGCCATATTCCATTCGTGCAATGCCACTAAAGTCATCCCAAAGCTTCGTTTATGTTAGAGTTGTTTGTTTCTGTTCGACGTTTACAATGACGATTTGAGTATACTAGCTGATTGATCCTTTTAATCCAGATATTGCGGTGCTTACAAAATCGTCGGATGAGCGAAAAAATACTGGACGCGTTAGGATAGGGGAGACGACTATGAAAGTGAACGAGAATTGAGAAGAAAATGAGAAGACATCAGAGAAGGCTTTCAAAGACGACGACAGTTCGTTGCACGAATCGATAGAGCGTTCGTAGCAATATGAAAATTAGAAAACGACGGAAAGTGCATGATTTCTGCGGTTTTTTTGAAAGAGCGATTGATCGTCGCTCACCAGTGAATGGGAATGGAATGGTTTCATTGAGGAATGTGAGGAATTGCTGCATTGACTGCACAGTACATCACACAATGGATCGTTGACCAGTTGGAATAGTTGAAAAAAAAGAGAAAACTGGAAAGAAATAACGTTAATCTTACAGATTCATTCATAATCTACCAGTTGGTGACACCCTCACTGACAGAAAACAATTTACTTAATCAAACCGTTTATTAATGCTCACCATCAAATATGATGCATTGAATTTTCAACGCGAAAAAAAAAGCTTCCCCATGGCTAAACAAGGCTATGAATTATGTGCACCGTACTGAATGAGTTATAATCATTTTGTTTGATTCATTTCCTACTCCATTACAATAAATTCCAATGAATTGTGATATAACGAGGGGCTTTATTCTTTTTTAAATCTCGTTTTATTTAACTGGATTAATGGAGCCTGCCTGAAATGTAGTATTGAGCTCATAATCCAAAGGAATTATTGCCAGCAGCCTGAAACTTGTGATATCACAGCTGCATTTGGCTGCTGATGTTTGCTCATTCAATATTCTTGGGGTTTTTCCTGAATCAAATAAAACAAATTAAAAGTTGATTGTTTGAAAATTTGTATCATTATTTAGTTCACACATTATCCGTTGGTGCTCTGTTCATGAGCGTGAATATTGTTCAGTGTGAATAATGGAAAGAATGAATCGACTTGTTTGCGAGAGTTACGTGAGTGGTAATACGGAGGGAGCGATTGACCGAAACAACTTTAGAAGTGCTCTTTTTCGTGACTCAAATGAAATTTACTGATTGTGAGCTGTTTCGTTTTGATTTGCATAATTGTGTTACGAACACCATGACGACTCGTTTCATTCAAAGAACTAACAATAAGTAAACTGATTGATAAGTGTAATTCTTTCTACAATTTAGAATTNCAGCGAACAATTGCCATATGTTTCGGTAGTTTTTGCTGTGAACACCATGTGATAATTTTTGGCTCCTTGTAGAAATTCCAATCAACAGTCCTGCGGAAGTGATGAACAGTAAAGTGGAATTGTGTGTTCGAATGTGAGTAATGAATTACGAGGCGCATTTATTTCAGCTTAACGTTTGATGCGTATGCGCAAATGTTCGTGTATACTTGTTAATTTTATTCACCCTCTGATGAACACTCATTTATTGCTTTGAATAGTAGCTGTAGAAATGTCAGCATGATATCCGCAAAACAAAATTCACGTTCCATCGATTGGAACTCGTGTAACTGATCAATGCACCACTGCATCGCATTAATTCCAGATAACTGATTTCCCATCAATTAGTGGTGTGTATTTTCCCGAAATGCATCTAGCGTAAAAGATCGCCGCTGGAATGCTTTTGCACTTATTTAGTGCGAGTATTTTCACTCAATTTTCTGGTTAAGGTTGAATAAAAGTAATGAATGATTAGAAAGTGAATTAGACGATTGTGAGCGAGATATCCAGATCGTCTTTCGTTTATATCTGTGTTAAATTGGTTGCTGAGGAACATAAAAGATAATGTGTGCCGAATGTGTGTGCGCATAGTGTTGCGCTTAGATAACGTGCTTCGATGACCTAGAACTTCTGGGAAATGTTGGCTTCTGATTTCGCTCGTAAGATCTTATTTGCATTTTGATGCCGCTTGGTGGATCTTATCCCTTTATCAACTCAAACCGAACTCGAATCGATTGCGAAACTCCCTGAAGTATTCTAAAAAATGACTTCTTTACCTTTCGAGAGTATCTCTGCTCACAGAACCTCATAGTTTATGTTCATGAGATATTCAGCGTTTATTGATGCAAAATATCATGGAACGAAGATCGTCAGCGTGAAAGTGTCTTGTTCTTTCGATCTCATCAAATCATGATAACAGTAAGAATTACACCTGATTAAGCAAGCCTTCTCTGTTCATCTGTTTTCTTTTCTGTTCAATAGAACTGTTATGAGATTATTATTACCTGATACCGGATAATTACCTGATACTTTAAAGATTAAATAGTTTCATTGATTTGTATTAAGCCACAGATACTTATTTGCATTTTTATCGATTTTCCAGTCACACATTAGTGTGCTTCAAAATGGTCATCATTAAAAAGAAGTTTCGAACTGCCATTAACTAAATTAGATTCGTTATCTGTGTACATACCGAAAAAATCATCAGTTTTGCACTCCTGGAAACTCTCGCTATAAGAGAACAGAAGAATCAATACATGATAAAGCAGCATCTGGATCGTCCTTCATCACACATTCAATAACGTTCCTATGCACACACATTAACCTAAGTATCACTTGCGGCTGTTATGCGTTTAGACATACGAATGTGATCAGCATGAGCGGAATTCATAGCTGAAAACGATCCAGTAATAGAAGTAGTATACTTTCTTGTTCTCATGTTCTTAGTCCTCAGAGATACCTCGGAATGAGTGCAATAAGCCCATGAGACCGATGGGGCGTGCTTGCTACGAGGCAAGCGTTGCACAATCCATACGTAACACTTAAAAATGTCAAACACTCTCATGTTTTGAGGTTTCGAGTGCAGCCTCTTGCAAATTCAGCATTTATCTCCCAGCAGAATTCATTCTCTACAAATCGATCTGTTTTATTTCAACTGAATAATTTTACAAACGTGAGCGTTCCATTTTTCCACATTCCAACAATAATTCTCTGACGAACTCTGAATTGATATTTGTACTGCCATGGAATGTTTTGATCACTTAAAAGTTGAATTCTGGCAAATAAGGGACTGAACTGAAGAAGGTATTTTTTTTNTTTTTTTTCTTGATTTCTTAGTGATCAACAGAACGGTTATGCCCAGGGGAACGTTGTGATAATTTCATCTGTGTAGTTTGAGATGACTTTAATACCATCCGTGATGAGTTCATTGGAATATTGTAATAAAACTTTTCAAATTGTATGAAGAACGGTAGGATTGATCTTGCTGGGTGTCTATAAATGGGTATCGAATTACAGGATGATGTTTTATCGGCGGTATCATCGGATATGGGACGACGAAAGCTGCCTTCGATACCGACGCAGCGAGCAGAGAAGGCTAGCGATGCACCGAGCGCTCCCATTTATCTCACTTCCAGTGCTCCATCGACCGCTTATCAACCGCAACCACAACCACAACAACAAATTCATTTCACTCAGGACCCACGTGCCTATTCGAGGCCTAGCTCACGTACTGCCTCATTAACGGACCTCTCAAGGCCATCGTCATCAGCCAGTAGTGTTATCAGTTATCGTACTGTTGATCCAGCTATTATACCCGGTGCTACTATTTCATCTGATGTTCGTCCCAAACCACCAAAACGACAAACAACATCGGCCGCGACCGGTGGAAGACCTTCACCTATTCTTACACAAGCCTCTTCGTCTCGAATGCCAAGCACACTGGCCAGAGTTTTGCTCAAAAAAGAACTTAAAGAGGTGCTGGAGAGGCGTCGTGAGACGTTGGAAGCGTGCGAGATTGAAGCGAACCAACGCCAATACGTTGTACATCGCATGCTCATAACTGGTTTACTGCCTGAATATCGTTCTTCTGATATTGACGATATTCCAAATGTGATTCCTTGTTTACTGCCTATTGAACTGATCGATGGTGCACGCGTTATTCCCGATTTCAGAACAGCCACTGCTGTGCCTAGTTCTTCTAAACCCCTCTCCAACGCAAACGTTTCTGCAACAATCCCTCAAGAACATATTTCCAGGCCCCCATCGGCTCAGAGTAGCACACAAGAGATTGGAGTGTCTACTGAAGATTTTCCTTTTGAACCAAGATCCAAATCTGTCGGCTGCCAAGCCGAATCCTCTCAGACCACCTCAAAACTCTATTCACCCACCTGTCCACCGTCATCATCAACATCATATCGAATGCCTTCAACATCACTGCGTTTACAAATGGAGCACGATCGGTACAGTTCATCATCTCGTTTAAAATCTGTTGAAACACAAACCAACGGCTTATCGGCACATGACCAACGACGTACCAAAGCTCTATCACCACATGTCTCGTCAAGCAGACGTCAAAAGAATCATATCGCCTCAACATCGGATCCAAACTTGTTGGAGTCAACTGCAAAATATTTCGCGGAATACGATCGTCAATTACGTGAACACGGACGTCGAATGAAGAATCGTTTCGCGTTTAGTGATGATGATCCAGTTAGTAGGGAATCGAAGAAATTGAAACTGCTGGATGAATTGGCACAACGCAAAGAGAAGATTTCCTCGATGACCGATCTCACGCAGTCTGAACTTTTCCCAACAATTCATCCGTCTTCTGATTATGCATCCACTGTACCACATTATGGATCACTGCCACACATTGACTATCCGACAACAGCTTCCACGAGTAGGGCATCACGAAGTCGTTTGAGAGATTTCACTTATCGAGATCCAATGGGACGTGAACCGTATGGGTATGGATCATTGCCGAGGAATTATGAACGCTATCTGGATATGTACGGCTACGATACGACCGGTGATGCTGACTTTGTATATCCACCAAACATATCAACACGACAGTATGATGCGCTATCCAGGTCGCTGCGAGATTTGAATCTCTCTGCTGATGACAATATAATTGATCCGCGTTTACGACCCTTCAGGACGGCTTCAACCAGTTATTTGGATCGACATAGTGATCTGATGCAACCTGGGAGGTGTCAACCTTATTATGGTAGCTCATATCCGCAAAATGTACGTCCACAACGATTCGCCGGACCACAGAGTTTACCCAATTCAGATATAATATCACAATATGCAAATTATTTGAGTAATCAGTTCATGGCTGATCAACAGCAACAACAACAGCAAATGCTNCCAACCTATTCTGCACCTCTTTCATATCAACCAACTGATACTCATCAATCTTATATTCAACAAGGACAGCAACGTTCAACCGTTCAGCAACCATCCTATGAATACGCTGTAGGGGAAAACTATAATACGAATATTCCATCTTATCAATACCCTGATCAGTCGATGCTCCAAACTGCACAACAGCAACAAGATTACCGCTATTCATCAATGCCATCGAGTAGCATGCTCCCACCATCTGCAACTTACGCATACCAACAGCAGCAACAAAGGCAGCAGTACTTGCCATCCTCAGTAAGTCAGGTCTACAGCCGCAATGAAGATAATTACGGTTCACGACCAACAGCTTATGCTACCGAATACGGTAATTTTCATCGTAATCCAGCGTTGGCTGCAGCAACAAATGTTGATCCGTTGGGTGATTATTCGAATCGAAACTATTTGCGAGCTCAGCAATATCCTAATATGCAGAGCGCGTATGGTAGTAGTTTAGCTGATGCACAGTACCGAGCAGGAGGAGGAGTGGGGATGGGGGGCATTCACTTAACGACGCCAAATCGTTATTTGACTGATCCATCAACTCTCACCCAGCAATTACCGTCAGCTGGTGCTAGCGGTATTGTGGATCCGTACAGGAATTATGCAAGTGGCTTGCCACAGCAGCAGCGATACGGTCGAGCATGGGCGAATGGAAATTTGATGACGAGTAACTACGATGCTGTTTATCCAAAAGAGGATGCACTCAGTCGTATGTACGCAACGGCTGCGTATCCAGCACGTTCGTCCAGAATATCACAGCAACAACAGCAAAGTGGTAATATTATCGATTCTCATTCTCAGCATCCCCAGCCAATTAAATTCTTCCAGGCAAAATTAGTGTAAAACGATGTCCAGAGGTCGAAAATAGACCGACACTGTTACAAATTTAGTTGAATGTGTTATTGTATCTCGTTCATTTTATGCAAATCTGTTTGCGTATGAATTAATGTTCCTGGGTTGGCCCGTTTTCTTCAACTCATCGAATTGCAATGAATCTTTGATTACGAATGAACGGGATTATTTGGTCGTGCAACGAACCTATTCTCAGTGCGTATTATTTCAAATTGTTCATATATGATCTCGGTCGTTTCCATTAGAATGTTTTTGATGTTCTGTAATGTATGTTGTCTTATAACGATACTGCTAGCAATCCTTTTAATCGATTTCATCACCTTTATTCAACTGTTCGCTAGCGATTTTAAATCTGGGCATTTATCAGCGGATAGATTCAGTTGGATACATGTGAATGTGAATGAATGAACAATGAATATTCGCGAGNAATAGAAGACAATGAGATGTAATTACCGAAGGAATAGATCGAAACTGATGAAAGCATTGTGTGAGCTTTAAGAGACTTTTCACGATCTTGTTACAGTCGAGATTACCTTTCGATTATCTGTTTCCAGTGCTAGCCAATAAATTATCAGTGTTTACCTAAGAAGAGGGATTATCTATGCGATCATGTTTTATTTGAAAGCATTGATGTTCTGTGACTGTCATTCAAGGAAATGCTGGTAATTTAAAACAAACCGAAAGTCCTGATTCGTTTCAGAGGAGTTTAAAACGGAGTATCACCAATGAATTCGTTTATATTTCATCAAGCTTTTAATCGAGTAAAAAGTGATAGCGAATCAACGATGAAGTGTTTTTGAGTTTGTATGAAAACAAAACATAATTATGCTTTCCGTCGAATTCAGTTCGTTAATTGTACATTATATTAGATGCATTCTGTCTCTCTCTCTTGTTATGCCTGCCTCATTATGTTATGTGTTATTTATATATTATAGGTTGTTCTATATGATCTCACTTATAAATACTCAGAAAAGCATGTACCAAACGATGTCTGACTGATAATTTTTCTGAATTTTTCATTTTTCGTGTTCGATGGTCTCAATGAAGATTCTTAGCCAGTTCAATACGTTAGCATCAAAATGTTTTATGAACCGTAATGATGAATGACTTCGGTGTGAAGAATAATCAGCAAAGAGATGATAACATTGAAAATTCTGATCGAAAAACGTGATTCATAATGGAAATACACTAACCCTAAATGTCAAAACGAAACGCTTTTGTTTCCTACTGAAAAGAAACACAAACTTAAGTAGAAATGCGTGAAAGATGTTAGATACTGTAGGATCCATCCAGTTTACAGTATTGACCATTCCAAAGATCANGGAAATAGTTACTTCGCCATCAGCACAAAGACGCGAACTAGCCTTTTTTACCGTAGCTCACTCGCACGTTTTGTTTCCGTCATACTTCCATTAGTTTCGCAAATTCCCGGAAATCAATCTGTTGAAATAACCGCAAAAAGTGATACTTTTTGTAACTCGCTGTATTCGGCAAGTTCAATTCTCGGGATTATGGCAAAACAACGCAACAAATTTTGGTGAGAGAATATTTTTATGATGCTGAGGTGTTATCGAATTGCCGCTGGAACCTGAGAACTACTTCAAATCGCTACTAAAATTGCTGATGAAGGAACCGTTTGATTTCAGGACACAAGGGCATTCAGCTGTTCGTTCGAAAAGGAAATAAAATTTTTTTAATGAACGAAACGATTGTGGTCATTGTCTTTGCATCATAAGGGCAGCGGTTGTATGCTGTCGGATAGACACACTCTTTGCAGTCCACTTCCTCTGGAAATGTCTTAATCGTAACAATTCGACATTCACAAAAATGTTATCAGGAAAATACCGACACAGTCTCATTAACTTCAGCTGCTACTGTTCGTATTTTCTGTAGAAAATTTTGACAATTTTTTTTGGCAAAACTCAGAGAAGTGATGAGAACTTTTTTAAATTCTTGCGCGATCAACACCGCAGCTGTAGAATATGTTGAAACTTCTGAAGCAAATCATAATTAATGAGAAGTATGATTCTGAATATGCACGGCATGAAACATCTAATTGCTTGTTTTCCGAAATGAATGTTGACAAAATGATTTCAATATGCTTAATCTAATGGAATTTCTTCGTGAACCTGAAAATTGAAAATGTTCATTCCAATAACTGAACTCGTAATCCGAAAGTTTCATGTGCACATAACAGCAAATCTATCCTTCGAAATTACCGGGAAGAGAATGTCGTGAAAATATTGAAACTGAAATTCATTACGGTTACATCGCCATAATGCACTCGCTATTCAAAGATCTCGTTGGTTCGAAATCCCGAGTGGAGTAATACACATAGGCGAAACTGATTGTATTGCGAACAGAACAAGGGCGTAACACAAGCCGTGACGAGATGAAAAATGACAATTTTGCATGAAAAAATAGTTGTTAATTAATCAAAATCACTGAACGAAACGAATTGAACTGCCAGTGATACGTCTTATAAATTGAGCATTTTGAATAAAACTTGAAATAATTTTTCCAAGGAGATACAACTGAATTTATTCCATTAGAGTTTGTTGCGGTTTTTTCCTAAACTTATAGTGCTACTAGTGGACTATTCGTGTGAATTACCGAAAATGAAACAATTAGCTACTGCATCGTAGTATCTCAATTCTCCAGATGGGCACGCATCAGAGAACCTCTACTGGAGGACTGCATTTTCGTGAACACAGTTATAAGTTTTAACGCTGAAGTTTCCAAAATTCATCCATCTCAAAAAGCGAGAACAAAACAACAGCAGTGTTTTCCACAAATAGCGGGTGAATATTGATGAGCTGGCGAGATTTTTTGAATGGCGTAAATTTAGCAGTAAGACTTTTGTAAGAACAGTGTTGACCAATCAGTCAGATGGTGTCCTGAAATGAATTTTGAGTTTGCACTTTATCGTCAGATAAGATTGAACTTATTTCATTGGAACATCAGTAAATCCAGTGATGTCGCTCAGTTGTTTTCTTCAATAAATACTCACTGCAACCGATTGACAAGTCTGGGAGAGAAGATTTATGACTAGAACATTGCTATGCGACGAGCATGACAGCACCCAGACAGCATTGAGAGATGTTTGATTCGATAGCATCGAAACTGAGTGCAGTTCGGATAAAAGATATGCCGACTTACTGAAAGCATTCGTTTCAACTTTAATTATGTCGCGAAGATCAAGTAAGCTTACTTGTAGCGATCAAATGGGAGGATGCATGTATAGCTGATAGAATGACTACTTAAAGTGATTATTCATAATTTATGTATATCTTCAGTGAATAATATCTTCAGTTCAGTGAGCTCATAAATAATCCACATCTTGAGCATATGTCTGTTATCGTTCACTCCTATTCATGATGAAAAGAATTAGAGTAAGAGTAGAAAGATTTCTAACTTCCCAAAATATCTAATGTTGGTAATCATATGCTTTTATTGTTGGAGATGAACACTTAATTGTATGTACTTGGAAGACTAAATCTTGCATGTTCTATGCAGATTTAATCCCTTAATACTTTTTGTCCTCCTCAGTTTGAGATTTTGTATTATGTTTGTTTATTTAGACAGTCTTTTGCAACTGTTCTCATTCGTTTGTGAAATATTCATTGTCTTACGATTGCGTCATCCTCCCATATAACGACCGAGATCATATTTTCATTTTTTGAATGTATCAGTGTCATTTTTGAATGTATTAGAGGGATGTTGATTCACTGCGTGTTATTCTGTGTGAGATATGCTATGAATGCAAATTGTTTACTTTAGGATGTGGTATCTCGAGTCTTGGCAGATACGATCGAAGGTCGCGTAGAAATCGGGTGAGGCTATTTTAATTAAGCATCTTGTTCACTTTACATATGAGTTGTGAAATAACTTCTGTATGCAGGTGAATATTTGCAAATTCTTATGCGATACATATCTCTGCTGAACAAAATATGACCATAATCTAGCCAAAAAATAGATAATGAGCCAGTTACCTTAGAACATGCAATGAATTATTTCGATTCAGAATCGCTTGCCGAATGGAACACAGTCTGCAAGGTGTTCAGATGATAGTGACGGATCTGGTGCTTTGCGACGATCGCTTTCGAGGCCGAGGGCATCAAATATTAAAAGGATTTTGCTGACACGCAAATATCATGACTCGAATGTTTACAATGGTAACAATATCAGTTCGATCTTAACATTTCAGATCATTTTAATAAGTCATGTGAATGTTGTCAATAATTTGTGTGCTCCACTCTTTGCAGATGTTGGCATCCGTGTCACAGGCGGAAAACGACTTCCTAACGGAGAATTAGGGGCGTTCATCTCCACCGTGAACCGAGCAAAAGCTCGGGAAACGCTTGGTGAGGTCAAAGAAGGTATGAATAAACGTGCTCATTTAGTTATTGCTTAAGACAGTGGTTCTCACATTCGGGTGCTTCATTACCCCTTTTGATAATCAGGCAGGCCGCCGTTACCCTGTCCTCCCCCTTCATGTAATCGATCATGATTGTATGAAAAACTGTTGTCTGTGGCAAGCTCACTTCAAACTGATTTAGATGAATTCTCATTCTTTTCAGACGTGTTGTGTTCACTCTCATAGCTATTTCATGCGAATATTGTTCTCTTGATGACTTTTTCTCATTCACTTCGTCTCGTTTCACTTTACAGTTCGAATCAGATTCTTATTCTGTAGCATGGACTATTTACTGGGTACACTGAGGAGTGTTGACAGCCGAAATCAACAATACAACAATCCGATTGAATTGCTCAACAACGTTCGCCAGTCAAATGATGAATTATAGAGTGTATTTGATAGAATGAGAAATTGACTTTGATTGTTGAGTGAAATGAATGAGAAATTAGCAGAAAAGAACACTTTTGGTGATAAAAGCTATGAGAGCGATTATAACAGCAAGGACTTTTGGTGATAAAAGCTATGAGAGCGATTATAACAGCAAGGAAAAGAATGAAAATCCTGTTAAAACGAATGAAAACCATGTAATGGTAAAATATGTTCCTGAACTGATGGTTCTCACAAAAAAAATTCTTTTTAGTGTTATTTTTGCAGTGAGTTGATGATTTCAGGTGATCAGGTGTTAGAGTGGAACGGCGTTTTGCTCACTGGTAAAACATTCGAAGAGGTTGAACGCGTAATTGCGGCTAGTAAAGGAGAAATTGAAATTATCATTTCGAGGTTCACATTTTCGTTCTATGATTCGCTCGCAGCGCTAATCAAAAAAGCGATCTTTAATTTTCGCTGCTTAGGATACGTCTACGATATTTCGTTGAATGATGCTCTATGTGCACTGCATTTTGATGA